AAAACAAAGAAAGAAAGAAAGAAAGAAAGAAAGAAAGAAAGAAAGAAAGAAAGAAAGAAAGAAAGAAAGAAAGAAAGAAAGAAAGAAAGAAAGAAAGATCCCAGCACCAGGGAGGAGGACATAAGAAGTGATATGGCTGGGTGGAGAAAGGAATATAAGACAGGCAGAGACAGGAGCTCTGCCCCCTTTTCAGCTGAGGAATTGTCCGAGGTAAGAGATGGCTGTGGCTGGCTCCTTTGTCTCTCTGATCTTTCAGCATTTACCCCATAAATGGCTCTGGGTTTTTATTATTAAGACCAATTAGAATTTGCACTACACCAGGCCCAGGAAAGTATGTGAGGCCTTCAGCTGAGCCCCATAAAGAAGTAAACATCTAGCAAATGGATGGTAACAGTCCCCATGGACCTCCCTTCTGACTACCCAGCATGTATCAATGACTGACTAATGGGAGGAGAACTCCTGTCTGTCCCAGAGGCTTCAGGCTGTTAACACTGCTGACGCAGCCTTCTCCGATCCAACCTGCCCATCCTCCTGTTCTCCCATCTGGTACCGCCTCCATCCTTCAGCCCGTCCCGGTCTGGACCCATCTTGTCCTTTGGCCTCTGCAGCTGGACTCAGCTATCCCGCTTCACTCTCTAACCTATGACCCACAGTGTCCTGACTCACAGCCACCGCTTCTCCAGCTTCTCCAGCTTCTCCAGATTCTCCAGCTTCTCCAGTTCCCTTTAGTTCATTATCAGAGGCTCCTGTCCCTGGCGGTTTCCCAGCTTTGGCTTCTCAGACCTGTTGGAAACTCAGAAATTCCTTGCACCTTTTAACCCTTTGCAGCCATTCCATAATCTGCGCGCATACACGCACGCACGCACGCACGCACGCACGCACGCACGCACGCGCACACACACACACACACACACACACACACACACACACGCACACACATTTACTGTGTGGGATGTGTATCATTTGAGAGTAATTAAGATTGGAATAAAAGAACCTGTGTTTCCTCAGCCAGGACTGTCAAGGAACGCAGGAGATCTGGCAAATTGCTGCCATTGAAGATGCTGTACCTTGTGAATTTGTTGTCGATAAAATGTGATGTGGACAAACACAAACTATTTCTCTGTGTTCCTAACAGCATGCTCAGGACAGTGCCTAAGAGCTCACACTCCAAGACATAGTGAAGCCCTTACCCTTTTCTCCGCGCTATTGACTGACCCCTGTGAAGCCTCACTTTACACACACACACACCACCACCACCACCACCACCCACACCGCCCCACAGACACGAGGCTCCCTGACTGGGGACACCTGTGGCCTGGCCCTGTAACTACCATCTCCCCACCACTGGAATCTCTAAGCAAATAAGGTGCCAGAGGCACATGGAATTTGCATGTAGGGTGTGTGAAGGCTCTTAGGGAAAATGGGCTGACTGTGTTTGCAGGCCCAGAGCCCCACACCCTCTTTTTAAACAAAGGCGGATCCTGCCCGGGGAGAGACCTCCCGGCGGCCAGCTGCACTGAGAACCTCTCTGGTCGGCTTCCAGCCCTTTTACCCTGTGAGGCAAGGGCAGGTGAGTGGTTGCCGCGGCTCAGGCAGGGCCCTAGGAACACAGCTGGCCCCGATTTTGCTCCTGCTGAGACCAGGCTTGTGCGGATGGGCAGGCCGTGACCTCTGAGGTCTCCTCTGGAAGCCACTGTGCCAGGTAGGCTGGGTGACCTCCTAGATGCTTGGGCCACAGGGACGGCAGAAAGGAGTTGGACTGCAGAAAACTGAGCCGGCACCTGTAGCTCACTGGGGTTCCACACTCTGAACTGTGAGAGGCCGTGTTGGGGCTTCCTCTTGAGCCCCAGAGGCCTGGCACAGTGTCTGCTCCCAGCCCTAGAGACGAGCAGGGACAAGTGTTGAATGTGACTTTGAGTAGGGCACCCTGCCCTAAGGAGTCGGCATCCCACCTACTCATAACAAGCCGTGTCTGGGGTCTTTGGTTGGGACTCCTTTGTCCTCATTCCCTGTCCCACTCATCAGGTGACATAAGCTCCTGAGCCCTTGTTCCACCATGTGGTTCTCACTTACTCGCTCCTGGGGTCCCCACATTATAATGCTGAGTCCTGGCAGGAGCGGGAGGTTTGGGCTTATGTCTGCCATTCCAGGCCTCCGTTTATCTAAAATAAGGAATTGGAATGAGAGCGTTGCCTTCTCCTTCCTGAAGTCCCTGGGCTCTGTGCACCTGGACAACAGCCCTGCTCCCACCTACCTCCTTCCTGGACCACAGGTCACAGTCTGGCATGGAGACCCCATAGGACTCCCTAAGGGATTGTGCTCTGTCTTGCTGGGGAGCCTGGGGACCTGGCAGCAAGTTCTCCAGAATTACTGCGAAGGCTGAGACCAGGCTTGTGCTGATGGGCAGGCTGTGACCTCTGAGGTCTCCTCTAGAAACCAGGTAGGCTGGGTGACCTTAAAAGGCATTGTCTGTTTTTCATGGACCAGATAGCCCTCCTGTATAGGTGAAGGAAGGAAGCTGGCAGGGAGATGGGGCGGGGGTCTGCATGGCAACCTCATGCTGTGACATTGCTTACACAGACTGGAGGGGCGGGGGAGGCAGGAGGACTCGGCACTTACTGGATGAACGAATGGGTGGGTGGGTGGGCGACTGCTACACTAGACTCCCAGGGACTCCTCTCAGTGGCTGGCTCTTTCCTACAGCTAGCGTCCCAGGATGTGGGAACCCTCGCATGCCCACGTTAGGACAATGCTGTCTGGCCCTGTGTCAGGGCTGGCTCTCCCCGGTGTCTACTAACCACTCCATCCTCTGTGGCTACCCTGGCCTTGATGTGGTGCAGGTGTGAGATGCTGCGGAGGCGAGCCCGGGAAGAAGACAGTGCGGTGCTGATCGACATGGCCTCCCTCGAATCAGAGAATGGGTCCTCTTATGGAAGCACAGCCCATGCCTCAGAGGTACCCTCAACCCTAGGGGTACTGGTGGGCAGGGTGAAAGTGCTCTTCTTCCCCCTCCCTAGACTCTGGGCCATGAGGCTCTTGTGTATTATGTGAGTTGGGAGGTTTCCCATCCCAGTCAGGACTCTAGCCCTTGTACTAGAGCCCTTGAAAAGTGGGTTCAGCATCCATGACCCCTCAATCTTGAATGACAAGGAGACAGATGCCTCCTTGACACACTTGGGTCACCACTCACCTCTCTCAAACTTGGGGGGACAGCAGAGATCCTATTAGGTAGGAAGCTCTGGGGAAGGGCAAGAAGGCAGATAGGACCAGGGTCTGGGGTCTGTTCCTTCTCTGCCAGAGCCCCTGTGGAAGGGAGGGAGCCAGGGCCGTATGTCATGGTTTTTTATGGATGTGAGGGATGGGGAGTATGGTGAGTCACCCATGAATCCTGATGCACGCGAAGGCCTTCAAATACCAGAAGAGACAGTGACCACACCCTGGGTGTTGCACTGCTCCCGTACTTTCTCTTCTGGAAATGAAAAGGTGCTGGTGACCTAGTCTCTTGTCAGAAAAGCAAGTCGTGAAGGGAGTCCTCTCCTACCAGGAGGAAAAGCATTTGTAGTCCAGGTCATGTCCTGGCTGGCTGGGCAGTGGGGGGAGGGGGAGGGGGAGGTGGTTAAGGTTCAGAGTGGGCTACCCGAAGGCTAGAGAAGGGAAGGGGAAAAGTTAGGCTTGGGATAAGGGCTAGTCCCCACGAGACAGGTAGACCTTCTGCAGAGGTGAGGAGCCCTAGAGGGAGAGCATCTCGGTCTACACAGCTTCCTTTGGCCTCAGCTGAGCTTCTTTGTAACCAAGGCATAGACATTGGTCTCGGGAACAAACCAAGAAGGCGGCCCTCAGCGCCTATGGAAGGACAGAGTCCCTCCAGGTGCCGTTTTCTGGCTTTAGGATTCTCCCTGTTGGAAAGACCACTCACATCCCAAGTAGGCTGGGAGCACTGTGGGTCCCAGTCTTTGATGCCACACAGGAGGCCCTGGTCCTTCCCTGGGGCCGCCCCAGTAATCTGAGGGTAAACGTACGTTCTCCTTTCTATTATCCCTCTGTACCACAAAATGAGGCCCCCGGAGAGGAGAACACAGAGCCTAGCTCTCCAGAGGGAAAAAGAACGTATGGAGAACAAGAAGGAGTCTACCTTCTGGCTGCTCTGACTTGTCCTCAAGGCCACACTGGGGGCAGTGTGGCTTCCCTTCCAGTTATGGAGACCGGGAAGGGCATTCAGCACAGGCCTGACAGGATTTTTGCCGGCTTGATCCTTGCTACAGGCCTGGTGGAGGCTGGTGGGGAAGATGAGGATGGTGGAGGTTGGACTAGCCTACCACTCTTCCAGTTCTTCCTTTCAGGAGCCCTTTGCCCCGGGGCTCCCAGCTTTTCTCTGTGAGCAGGGTCAGGAGACAGGGGTGAGGGGGAAGGCTGAGGAGGAAATGAGAAGAGGTAGGAAGAATCAGGGGAGGATGAAGAGGGTGCAGGGTGGAGACAGGAGGGACAGGAGGTAGGTAGATCCGTGACTCTCAGCCTCTGGGTCTCCACCCCTTTGGCCCTCTTGTCACAGCGGCTGCATGTCAGACATCCTGCACATCAGTATTTACACTACAGTTCCGAACAGCAGCAACATTACAGTTATGAAGTAGCCACGAAATAATTCTATGGTTGGGGGTCACCACAGCATGAGGAACTGCATTAAAGGGTCGCAGCATGAGGAAGGTCGAGAGCCACTGAGGCAGAGGGGACAAGGAGCAGCCAGGGTGGGCACGGTGGGAATGAGTCATCCTGATGGCTGGGTGCTGAAGGTGTTCTTCCTTCCTGCAGGCAGGTAAACAGCAGGTGGCCCCCAGCAGAGTTGGGAGCCCTGCCAAACCCCCGATCGGTAAGCCATCTGTACTTGGTCCTGGGGTGGGGTCACAAACGGGGTGCCTCGGGGGACAACAGGAAGCCAGCAGCTTGGGTCACTCAATAGCCAGGCCTCCCATGATGTCAAGGGTGAGGTGAGAGCTTCCTGCTGAGCAAGCAGTAGCCAGGGCACTAACAGGAAAGGAAGGTCCCCACTGCAGGAGGGCTCAGAGAGGAAAACCCCTTCTGCCTGCTCCAGCCTTAGGACAGACTGTCCCCTCCTCCTCCTAGTTGTCAGCCACAAATTCTGGTCATCTCAGACTCTTTCCTCTTGCACTCACATCTTCCTACCTTTACATTTTCAGATCCACTTCTCCTACCATCCCCTAGCCCATGGCTCCCATCTGCCCAAAGTCACCTTCATTTTTGTGGTGGGACCTGCAGGGGTTCTATCTGGGATCAAGGACCCACACTCCCCATCAGCTCAGACAGTAGACAGCACTCACGCTTGCTCCTAAGCATGACTCTTAGGGAAAAGCAAAGCACAAAGTAGCAAGTTCAGGCAAAGGTCTGTGGGAATGCAAACACACACACACACACACACACACACACACAGTCGGAGCGGGTGTAAGATGGCCCAGTAAACACTTAGGATTCCATGGAAAATGAGCACACAACCGCGTGGGACCCAGCGATGCACATGGTCAAGGGAGGTAAATGTTGATATTGCTGGGTTGTTTTTTTTTTGGGGGGGGGCAGTTGTTGATAAATAATTTACACACCACAAAGTTCACCCATTCTCTCCTTTTTCTGTTGTGAATGGGGAGTAAGATGATCGTTTACATGCAAGCTTTTGGGCGGACATATTTTAATTTTTCGTGAGTTGACGGTTTGGGTGACATTGCCAGGTCATAGGGTTTTTGCAAAGAGAGTTCCCTGTTTCACGTAGTACCACAGTGTGCGAGGCCACACTCTCAGCACAGCACAGCAGCCCCCACAATTGCCTCTGTTTAGCACAGTGGGTGTGAAATGTTATTGATGTAGAAGAAACTCGGAGGGATAGATTTTGCTTAGGAGACTAAGCAAGTGGAATCTAGCTAGAATGCTGCTTCCAAACTACCCCAAAAGATAGTAAGTAGTCTGCAAACCGGCACTATCAGAGAGAAGCAAAACTTAGTATGTAAATGTTTACTCGCTTGGATTGAGCAGCCATTAAGCCCCGATTCCCATACCAAAGACATACCTCTCCAGGGCAGCTCTAGGGAGGCAGTGCAAGGTCACAGCTATGACCAAGTTCCGGTCTGCCATTAAGTCCCCTGCGTTCTTATTAGGAAAAGCAAGATGACCATGGGTCACAATTAGTAACTGTGGCAATATCTTTGCAATGTAAATCTCCTCTGCCTAAGCAACCACACTTGCAGTCCCCTGTCTCAATGTTTAAATTGTCTGAAGTGTAACCTGGGGCCAGGACCCGAAAGAGATTTCAGGATGACAGTGTATGCAAAATGCATAAGCCTGAGGAGGTGTATGCAAGCTAACGAAACCTCCTGTTGGGGGTCGACAACTCTTTTTTTTTTTTTTTTTTTTTTTTTCTTTTTGGTTTTTTGAGACAGGGTTTCTCTGTGTAGCTTTGCGCCTTTCCTGGAACTCACTCTGTAGACCAGGCTGGCCTCGAACTTACAGAGATCCGCCTGGCTCTGCCGCTGGGATTAAAGGCGTGCGCCACCACCGCCCAGCCTTGGGGGTTGACAACTCTTAATTTGGCGTCAGCCCCAGTCAGCCAGTAAAGGGCTGTCCTTTATCTCTAAGTGTGCTGATGATTGCTCCCTGAGAAGGCGGACTATTTCTATAACATTATCTCACTATGGATTGGGTGTGTATGTTCCTAATGACTAATGATATGGACTGTCTGTTCTTATGCCAATTGGATATTTCATATCTTCTTTAGACGAATGTCTCTTCAAAACCTTTGCCCATTTTTAAGTTGTGTGTCTGTGTGTCTGTGTCTGCATGGCTGTTAGATTGTAAAAATCCTCTAAATTCTGGATACAAGTCCCTTATCAGAAACACATTTTGCAAACATTTTCTCCTATTCTCTATGTTGCCTTAACCTTTTCGATCGTGTCCTCTGATGAAATGTGTCTTACCATTTGGTCCAAGAAATCACACCTGACAGGTTCTTTTAGGAGTTTGGGACCTAGACTGTGGGAACCAAGCTACGGAAGGGATCTCAGGAGGACACGCCCAGCCTCTGCTCCTGATCTGCATGGCACACTCGCCTGCCCTCCAGCCTGAACTGCAGCTAAGGATAGGGCTGGGCAAGAGCCACAGAGAAGCCCATGGCTCTCACTTCCCATCACAGCCCCTGTGCCCTAGCTGAGACCCCAGCAACCCTGCCCTGGGCCTGCATTCCACTAGCCCACACTCTCTGCCTTTGTCCCCATGGATCCCTGTAGATTTTGTTCTTGTTTGGGAAGAAGACCTGAGGAACCAAGAGAGCCCTACCCAGGACAAGACAGACACACGTGAGTTCTGGAGGGAGACCTTTCTGGAAAAACTTCGTCTGGCTGGCCTGCATGTAGATCAGGTACGTGGGGGTAGGAGTGGGGCTCTATAATTCTGCATGACTTTGCTCTGCACGCCTGAGGGCTTACTATCAACAGATATAAAGCAAACAAGGCCCCAGGGTCCTGCTGGATACCCACCCTTCCTGTGGCTCGGAGCCACAGACCCCAGGCCAACAAGAACATGGAGCCATCCTAATGCACTAGGCTCACTCACAGAGGCTGAAGCCTTCAGGGAAGGGCGATCAATCCATAAAACTGCCTCCATTTTCGCCACCCATTGCCTACCAGCTTGTGTCATTTGTCAGCATGTGTCATTTGCAATCATTGTTGGTGTTTATAGGATTAGCAGATTCGAAGGTCCCTTTGCATGTTTTGGTTTTTGTTTTTGTTTTGTTTTCTTTTTT